TGTTTTGTTTTGTTTTGTTTTGTTTTGTTTTGTTTTTTGTTTTTCTCACCATAGGGATGTGACGCTTAAGGAATCTGTGAAATAGCGACCAGATTTGGCCCCAGTACCTTGGGCCAACAAACCATAAACTGAATGAATCATTTTTAATATATAAATAACCCAGAGTTGGCTATTTTCTGTTAATAGTAGCACAATGGAGTAGAAAACTGAATCTACCTTTATAAGGTAGAAACTTTGATTCTTGCAAATGTGGTATCTCCAAAAGGCTCCTTGCCCTAATAAAAAAGGTCTGTTAACTCTGTAGGGTACATTCTGTGAGACTTCCACTTATATTTTTGAAAATAGTTAATAAATGTATATTGTGTTTGCAAAAAAAGAGAAATAAAATGTATTTTTTTGTTTTATATTCATCCACTGTATATCACTACAGCATACAAAATGAATTCTCCCATGCAGACTACACTGAATATTAGCCCAAAGGTATTACCATACCGCTTATCTTCAACAGATAATTTTCCATTTTGTGGTTAACTGTTTTACTTTCTTTTCCCCCCTTGATTCCCTCCCTCTCCCCTTCCGTCATTTTTCTACCCTTCTCTCACACTGTCTAAATAAAAAGACAAGAAAACTACCTCATTGCACCTGCTAAAAAAAAATTGAATGTGTGGGCCATCAGTTGGTATAGTGGTTAAGGTACTGGACTCCCACATGGCCAACTGTGGTTCAAGTCCTGGACCTGGTGACTTGAAAATCACATCAGATGTATATGCATGAGTATCCAAAATCCTGAGAGAAGACTGGAGGAGATGGGATTGTGGTACGAACATCCCCCACGCAGGGTGACTTCTCACTTTCCCTCTCTCTGTCTCTCTCTGGTGAGTACACATGCCCTATGGCAAAACCTTTTAAAAAATTGAATGTGCCATGCAATACCTTCTGTGTTAATTTGTGCATCGTTAAAGTATTGCCTTTCAAATATATGCAGTTGTTTTCATAGGTACTTGGTTTTCATGATTTTGACATTGCTTTCCAAAGCCTCTTTTACCAATAGGTATGATTAGCTACATATTTAATCAATTCATGTTTATTATTGGTTTTTAGAAATATCAATAATTCTTAGGACCAGCAAGTAGCATAGTAGTTATGTCTCTGGACTCGCACATAGCTGACTACGGTTTGAGTCCTGGACCCAGCAGCTTAAAATTCATGCTGGGCGTGTGTGCGTGCGTGCCCAAGATCCTGAGAGGAGAATGGAGCAGAAGGGATTGCGGCGTGGCCATCCCTCCTGGGGGGTGATTTCTCGCTTTCTCTCTGTCTCTGTCTTTCTGGCGAGCACACGTGCCCTATAGCAAAAATTTCTCTCTCTCTAAAAAAAAAAAAAAAAGAAACATCAGTAATTCCAACACAAAGTAATGACAACTGTTTGAGATGATGAGTAGACTAATTATCCTCATTTAATTTAATTTAAAAACTGATGAAATGTGGACCAGTTAGTGGTTAAGGTGCTAGATTCCACATGACCTATTGTACAGTTTCAGTCCTGCCGCAAAGGCTTGAAAAACACATCGATGTGGGCATTCATGCCCAAAATCCAGAGAGAAGAATGGAGGGGAAGGGATTACGGTATGGCCGTGGCCTTCCCCCATAGGGGAGATTTCTCACTTTCCCCCTCCCTCTCTCTCTTTCTCTCTCTGGCGTGTATACATGCCCCACAGCAAAAACAACAAAACAACAACAAAACCTGATGAAATAGTTTAAAGGGGTCCACAAAAAGGCAAATATAGTACTTAGAATCCAGAAGCATATAATACACACACACGCACACAAATTTGTGTAAAATAGCTGTTGTCTATATTGCTCAAAGGGTAAAATAAAAATATATTTGAAATTTAAGATCGGTGATGCATGGGGTCAGCACATGGCATGGTGGTTAAAGTGCTGGCCTCCCACATGACTGACTGTGCAGTTCAAGTCCTGGATCTGGTAGCTTGAAAATCATGCTGGGCGCATGTGCATATGTACCCCAAATCCTGAGAGAATGGAGGAGAAGGGATTGTGGTATGGTCAACTCCCGGAGGGAGGGGAATGATTTCTCTCTCTCTGTATCTCCCCAGTGAGTGCATGTCACCTACAGTAAAAACTAACTAGTTAAATAAATTTAAAAATCAGTGATGTGCTCCACATTCAATAGTCTTACATATTCCTTGTGTATTAGAGGCACAGTGCCTTTTATTTTATTTATATTTCTTTTTTAGTTTGCTATAGGGCATGTACACTCACCAGGGGGAGGGAGAGAGAGAGCTTGAGAGAAATCACTGGGGTGGGGGTGGAGAGCCACACCATAATCCCTTCTTCTCCAGTCTTGAGATTTTTTGGGGGGCACACACACATGCACCCAGCAAGTTTTTCAAGCCACTGTGTCTAGGACTTGAGCTGGTGCAGTTAGTTGTGTGGGATCCAGCTATCTTACCCACCATGCCACCTGCTGGCCCTACAATGCTTTTTAGGGTCTCTAACCACTCCTACCCCCCCAACAAAAAAGAGCATATATATACAAAAAAAAAATCAATGAACAACAATGTCTTCAAGGCTTTTAAAATACTGACATAGAGCCAGCTGATGGCGTGATGGCTGAGGCACTGGATCCCACGTGGGCAATTACGTTCAAGTCCCGGATCTGGCAGCTTGAGAAACATGCTGGATATGTCTGCATGCATGCCCAGAACCCCAAGAGGAGAATGGAGGAAAAGGGACTGCAGCTGTGGCCATCTCCCATGGGCAGGGGGTGATTTCTCACTTTCTCTGTGTCTCTCTTTGGCAAGTGTACAGTCCCTGTAGCAAAAACTAATATATTCATCTATCCATGGGGTCATCAGAAAAGTCATGACGTGTTTTTGCATAGAAAAACACTTTTCCAATGGCCTAATATAGAGACAGACAGATAGATATAATTTTTGCCTTATTCTGGAATTTACATATTTTTAAAATTTCATATATTTCCTTCTTTAAGTTTCTTTCTTTCTTTCTTTCTTTCTTTCTTTCTTTTTTTCTTTCTTTAACATAGGGTGCATGCACTCATCATGGACAGAAACAGTGAGAAGGAAAGTGAGAAATCAGCCCCTGGAGGATGACCACACAGCAATCCCTTGTCCTCCATTCTCCTCCTGGGATTTTGGGCACACATGCACATGTGCCTGGTGTGATTGTCAAGCTGTCAGGTCTAGGACTTGAACCACGGTCAGCCATGTGGGAGTCCAGCACCTTAACCTCTACACCCCCTGCTGGCTCCTGGAATTGATATTTTCAAGACATATCCTCCAAAGCAGCTCTAGGTAAAATGTCACTCATTGCCTGTATGTCTGAACACTTACCTATTCTGCTTAATGGGTAAGGGAACCCTGGATCATGAGGTTTACATAATAAAGCCTGCTTCCTGGATTAAATTTCCTAAAATAATGCCATTGTAATTTTATTTCTATTCCCATTCCACAAAAAAATAAATAAATAAATAAATAAATAAAAGAAGTAACTATCGTAGTCAGCAGATGGTATAGTGGTTACGTCACTAGACTCACAAATGGGCGGCAGTGGTTTGAGTCCTGGACCAGGTGGCTTGAAAATCATACCAGGCACATGTGTGTGCATGCCTAAGATGTCAGGAAGAGAATGGGGAGAAGGGATTGTAGCATGGCCACCCCCCTTGGGGAGTGATTTCTCACTTCCCTCTCACTATCTTAGTCTCTCTCTCTCTGGCGAACATACCACTCTATGGTACAACCAACTATCACCTACAAGATTAGGGTCATACTTGCGCCAGTTCAGATCTGACCCACCATTCTTACCTGTCCTTATCACTACCTTCTAGTATGTACTCTGTCATTGTTCTCTGAGAATGTGCTGGGTTTCATTTGTTTTGTACTTCCAAATTTTTTTTTTGTACAGGGCACATGTGCTTGTTGGAGAGATAGAGACAGATGGAAAGTGAGAAATTGCCCCCCTGGGGTGGATGGTCATGCTGAAATCCCTTCTCCATTCTCCTCTTGGGATTTGGGGCATACATGCATAGGCACCTGGCTTATTTCCCAATCTTCCAGGTCTGGGATTCGAACCACATAGCCAGCCATGTGGGATCCAGCACCTTAACCACCATACCATCTGGTTGGCCCATTTCCAAACATTTACTTGAACAAACATAATGGTGTTTCCACTAAGACATTTTACAAACATTAGCTCTCTTAGTCTTCCTAACACCCCTATAGGATCAGTAGATGAGGAAAATGAGGCACAGTTCAGTAACTTGCCCAAGTGGCAGAGCCAAGATTCAGCCCGTGTTGGCCTGGATCTAAGGTCAACATGCTTAACCACAAAAAATGTTACCTTTGATCCCAATGCATTCACTACCTGAAATATCACTCCTCCTCCACCATTTGAATTTTGCTACTCATTCTTCAAGACGCAGCTCAAGAATCAGTTCTTGCAAGTGTCTTTTTTGTGGTTCATACCTCACTCCTCTCTCTTGCTTTGGCACGACGTCAGATATTATTTATTAAGTGACATATGGAAAGAGT